GACCACTATACACAGTGAGCAATGACCCATAACTTGTACAAGTACTATCTCAAAATCACCATTAGCAGGTCAACACATCCTGTACAGAAACAGGAGTTCTCCCATAGCAGAACAAGAGTCTGTCCTTCAGATCTTAACAGTAAGATTTTGCATACACAGCTGTTACTGTCTAAGCACTTATTGGATTGACCAATATCACTGATATTGCATATAAAAACCCTAGCATGTCTGCACAATTCCATAACTATCTGGAACAAAACACTCCTATTTAGTTCAATAGTTTGAAATTCACCCACTAGTGAGTGTCTCAGGATCAAGACATGAATCTAGAGTTCTAGATCTAGCAAGCAGTATCTCTGCAGCCTGAGCTATATCGGGGCAGGCATATATGCTAGATGATGGAGATAAGTATGATTCTACTAAGAATTTAACACCTCAGGAAGCACCACCATTTCAAAGCCTTAGCCTTCACAGAGCTTATGCCAACATCCTCCATTGGTTCATTATTAGGCTTTAGAAAGGGAGAAGTGGAAAGTCACAACCTGCAGCATGCTATAGGCTAGATCCAAGAAAGATGGCTTTTTTCTACAAACCAATACAAGGCAGGTCCCCAGGAAGCCTGTTAATACTTTCCATTCAGTCAACTAGCTGTACATCAGTATTTAACTTTATGCACATACCTCTAATCAAAGTTTTAAATATTCTCTGTAGCCTAAAATGACTTAAAATAGAGCATTCGGGTAGCATTAAGTCACCCTAAGCTCCTAGGGCCACAGTGCTGGCACTGTCCTGCTCATGAAAAAGCAGCACACAGGCAGGTAGGATTTGCTCCTTGTGATCCTAGGAACGCTGTTAGCTCCCAAGCACCCTCAAGGGTCCCACAGTCCTGAAACTGGAGCAACTTAAGCTTTCTATGGGTTTACAGTACCAGGAAACTGTTAGCTTATAACTGAACCAGTTAAGCACTTCAGGGCTTGACCTTTTAAGTATATTAACTGAACATACATTTTTACACGGCAGCTTCCAGCTGTGATCCCATCAGTGACCAATGCCACAAATGGCAATTGCAAACCAGTTTAATAAAGCACAGCACAATGAAGGAGGCAAGATTTGAAGCCCACAATGGAGAAATTTATTTCCTATTGTAAAGAAATAAGAAAAAACTGCAGATTTACATTTTCAAAATAAAAATCACTAGTAAAGAAATCCCAAAGGTAGTTTTCCTCCCATATATGAAGCATCTTAACTTAGTTCCCATAACTAAAAAGATAAAAAGAAAAAATAACTCTTAATTTGCCTTTTAATTATGAAATTCCAATAGATAGCTTTTAAAATCAAGTGTTTTCCATTTGACAGAAAGACAAAGGCAGTAAAATGGAGCACCCTTTGGTTCAAGGGAGAACTTACAATATGAATGTATTGAAAGTATGAAGTGGGGGGCAGAGGAGCTAATCACTACGGCAGAACTAAATGTTTTAGTATCACACGCACCACCCTGTTCAAACATCACTGATCTTTGCAGATATTACGAGCCTGCTCATTGTGTTTAAAAACAATTTCCTATTCTATATGCTTATAACAGATGCTAGACCTAGCACAGAAGGTACTATTTACAGAAGCTACAGCTACCAGCAACAGAGGATTCCTCTTTCAGGTTAAACTCTTCTTATTAAAGATGGGCTGCAGGAAGTTAGCAAGCAAACAATGGTTTAAAAAGGAGCAGAAAGTACACATTCTTCACCATTTTAATTAACTCTGGCATTTTCAAATGCAGAGCTGCTATAAAACAATGTTTTTATTACCAATACACAGGAAATATAGGTCCACATGGCAAGAAAAAAAGAAACACAGCCCTTGCCACAATCATGAATGCAAAGCCATGTTCTGCTCCAGTCTTTTGTTATGTAATGATTGGGTAGCATTTATTCCTCTTTGATAGGGGCTAAAACACATTGTATTTGCACACTGCTGCTTAGCTGACACAGTAAAGGCTGCTGCTTCAGCACATGCCAACTAAATGGTTAAAAGCTGCCCTTGCTTTACCTGCTCCAGCATGCTGCTACCCACAGCATCCTGTATTGCTAGAAACCCCTGGCAGGGCCTGGCTGGGGGGCTGGCTGCTCCTGCTCCACAGACCAGGTGGGACAGCCCAGCTCAGGCTACTGCCCCGGCCTTGCTGGAGCAGGAGCCCCGCCACCCCCAGGGCAGCTACACTCCTGCTCTGCAGGACCCAGTGTTTGTTTGAGCTCTGCTGGCAAAGTGCTGCAACCGCTCAAGCGCAGAGCAGAGGGTGCAGCAATGCATTTCATAGGCAATCATGTGTTCTGAGAGCGCAAAAACTGTGCCGAGAAGAAACATAGCATGGTGGCATTGGGTTTACTAGTAGACCTGAATGATCTTGTAGGTCGTTTCCTACCATACTGATTCTAAGACTGTTTTTCCTCAGGTGAAAGGGCACTGCTGTGCACTTCTGGCAGCAGGTGCTAGGAGCTGTGCTGCTCTGAACTAGAGACATCCCTGCTTGTCCACAAGTTTGTTGTCAGTGCTTGTCATTGGATTTTCAGAGCAGAAGAGGCCTCAGGGAAAATTTGCATGCTGCACCTGAGTTGCCCAAAAGCTCACCAGAAAGAAGCAAGTCTGACAACTACTTCCCAACATTTTTTGAAAGCACCTCCAGGGCCTGCACCATCACCTCCTCACTGCTGCATACCCTGCAGTCCTACCCTGCCTCATCACGCACCACCGCAAGCAGATTCAAAACACTAACTGGAATTTTTCATCCGATTGGGTTTCCTACCAGTTCACCAGCTTGAGCCAGACAAGAACAGAGCCAGCCCCAGGGCTGGCTTGTTCAGGCACAGGAGGACCTGGAGCTGCATTACACCACATGGCTCAGCTCATGACAGCTCCACCCCTAGGAGGGCACCAAGGAAGTACAAGGTCCATTACAGGGACACTGCCATGCCTCACCCTCATGCAACAGCAGGCATTTGTGATTAATACCAAGAGAAAAGTCAATACCATGAGAAATTGAAGAGTTAAGATAGAGAGATACTTCCAGGTACGTAGCAACCGCAAGGGTTAGTTTGGCCTGTTTACTGCAGATTGCATTACTTGCTATCAGACTTGAAAAAAGCATTTCTTCTAGCAAACCACTTATCACATGGATCAATATGAAAATAAATACAAGAGGGAGTCTACCCATAGCAGATGTGAAGTTATTTTTATGATTAGAGACTTGAATTGACATTTCCTTACAAAGTGTCATGGGGTATTTCAGATGCAGACCTAGAAAACTGGGGCAGAAGATAAACAGTGACAGAAGAAAGCTGAATTTGAAGATTAATCATGATTCCCATCTTGCCAGAATCCAGAAGATTGGGCAGATGCAGCAAACCTGAGAGGATCCATCAGTAAAACTCTGAGCTCATCTCAGAGCAAGATCTCCCGAGATGGCCGAGCTGATATAACTGTTCAACAAGACAAGGTAGAATCCGCTCCCTCCTAAGTTCATCCTTGCAGTTGCATCATATCCCCTTCCTCCTGCCAGCACTGGTGCTTCTCTGACCCATCAGACTAATGGGCTAACTAAACCACTAGAAAACTAACCCAGCAAGAGCCACAAGTTTCAAGCCAGCGCAGTCTGCTGGGTCAGCTGACCAAGGGCTCCCTCTCACAAGCACATGCTGGAGGCAAACAGGAGTACCTGCAGAAGACTGGCCTTTCTGGCAGTAGAAAGGCACAGGCTGACTGAAAGATACAAAAAGGGACATGGCTCTGCAGCAGAAAAAAAGGCAGAGCAAGCAAAGGAAGCAGGGTTTGTTGCAGTAGATGGGGTAGCATAATAAATAGGAAGTCAAAAGAAAAACATTTCTAGTATCCCTGTGACAAGATAACTGGCAGCTAGCAGTCCCACAACTGCTAGAAAGTTAAATGTTGGTGCCCTGCAGGGATAGGGAGGACAGAGCTCAGTGTATTGTTTCACTGTTAATTCCCAGTTGAACTGCACCAGATTACTTCATTCTAGGGATCCTACAATGTGTCATCACATCAGAGCAGTTTGCTTTTCCAGTTTTACAGCTTGCATTACTACCTGGCAAAGTTCCAACTTCCCTTTGCAGCCAAAAGTAGATGGGAAAGTCTTCCAGCTAAAAGTTGGAAGTGGAAGCAATGCCATCAACAAATACAGAGTGGAAGTGATACAGTTACCAGTGGAAGACTAGGCCAGCAAAGTGAGCGCAGCAGTCATTTTTGAGAAAAGGAGAACAGATACTAAGAGCGAAATACGTTTTTATACGTGATAATAGCACATCAAGCTATGCCAACAGCACAAGGATATTCCAACTTTTTTCTCTGCTCAGTAGTTACAGAAATATTGCTGAACATCTGTTTTTAAGAGTAAAGTGCAAATAGTATATTATACTTGCACAAGGATAATAAAATCCCTGTGCTCCTGCAACCTGTGTTTCCTCAGAGGTCACGGCTTCAAGAGGAGCAGACTCAACCAGTAGGTTAGAGGAGCTACAAGGGCAAAGCTCTGGCTGTTTCTTACTGCCATCCTCCATTGAGGATATGGTTCATTAACCCAATGAGATCCTGGATCATTTTCTGCTCTTTTGCCAACCTGAATCACTTCATAAGCACAAGCCTCAAGAAGGGAGTAGGACCATGTGGTCAGTAGCAAGACCTTCCCCAGTTAGTCACAAGCCTGACTCAGCTTCTCTCAAAGCCATAGCCCTCTTTTAGTGCCCATCCCTTGTTTTCATTTAAGATAGCCACAGTAACAAAGTTTTCTTATTTCTTAAACTCCCTTTTCAAATTAAAGACTTTCATACTTGGGATTTGTTTTCCTAATACTGAAGTGCTATAAAACACTAATACAAAGTTAACTTGAGTAACTTGGAAAATCATCTACAAATCACGATACCCAAGCATACAGCTAGTCCAAAAAACAAATCAGTTTTTAAAGGCCAGGTATAAGTGTGCTTCCATTTACTTACCTTTTTGCTTCCTCTAAGTGGCAGAGATACTCGTAAGCAATGTTCTGACGCCTCCTCTCATCCATTTCTTCTGCTGAAAGCCTTTCATCGTCCACAATAGCTGCAAAGAGAAACCCACTCCAAGTTACACACGAGTGAGTAACCAGCAAGGGAAGGGGGGTATTCTTAAGCAATTTTACTGAGAGTCTGAGCAAACTAAGCTAAATTAGAATAGACTAAAATAGGCATCCCCTGTCCTTAAAGTACGCATTTTATAGCATGGTGCAGCAAGACATTCAGATCGTCAAGATACAGTTCCCCGTACTGTGAATTCCACCTATTCAAGCACATCTTGCTTTTGGTACATTGCCTGGTTTGTGATGAGGAGAAATGGAAGAAAACACATGATTCTGAGGCCAGGAGCCAGCAAGGTGTCAGCCTACACATGCTCCAAGGAGTCTAAGGACTTCCATGTGAGCAGTCAAAGCAAGCAGTGGATGGAGCAACCCTTGCCAAGCTGAGTCTCAGCTGCAGAGATGAAGACAACAGGGCACTGTGAGTATTTCCAGGGCAAATGGGTGCAGCTTCAGCAACCTGACTGCAACCCAGCAAGCTACCAGTGCAGGCAGGAAGGTCTGTGGCAAAGGGAGCTGTGGTATCACAGCCCTGCACACTGCGCCAACCACAGCACCTCCGGAGTGGCACCTCTCTCGAGGAAGGACGATCCCCTCCTCACGGCCCCCTGGAGGTGGCCCTGACCTACCAACAGCTATGCCATTAGTGGTCCCCTCTCTTCACAGAGGTCTCCAGAGTTCTAATTTTTTCTGGAATTTCAAATGCTACCCCAGCTGGAAAACCAAATAGTGGCATCCACTTCTAGCTGAGTTTCAATCAAGCATGTGAGGTTTCTGGAGACTGCTGTCGGCATCAGGCAGCTGTCAAGGGAGACCACATGAGCTGGCTGCTACCAGGGGAAGGTAGCCCTGCCCTCCTTCATGCTTCCTAGCCACAGGTTCCCACCACCTCTGAGAGCTGGTGGATCCACAACAATGTTGGCAAGCCAGACAGAGCAACACAGTTACAGAAAGCCTCGCTTCTCACAAGATCTGACTCTGCACATCTGCAGGTGCAGTGGGGCAGGCCTGCAGCAGGGGAAGGGAGGGGACGGAAACACAGGGCTGGGCCAGCCACCTTCTGCAGCAGCCCACAAGTAGCTGAGCTGAAAAACATCACACCAAGCCCTAAGTAAAATATACTCTCCTGAAATGCACCCGCAGCCCTCTCCTAGTGGGTACACACCTTGCTGAAGCCAGGCTGTGTGCCAGGGAAGAGCACTATGGGAAGCGGCACAGTTTTAGGAGAATACACACACGGTGAAGCCTTGGCCCTGCTTTCCCAGAAGATAGTCGCAGCAAGTCAGGTTCACACTACCATGCACTGAGGATATGAAAATGCTTCTTCCAGGCAGAGATGGCCCATACAACAGAGCCTTTTGCATCAGTGAAACGTGCTGCCAAGCAGCTCTGCTCCCTGAGCTCCCTAAAGACACGAAATAAAGCACACTGCCTGTGCACATCTCAATTGAAATCACCACACATCTGTTAGTATCATGTAGCTATTTAAGTTCTGCAGTTGCAGTTTTAATCACCACAAGCCCTCAAACTCATCTTCCTTTCCTTTTGAAACAGCTCTTCCTAATTGCCCAGTTTTACACACAGATAAAAGACATCTTGCTCAAAAACCCTTTTAAGTCTGCTACTCCAACAAGTGTGACTCACTCAAACCAAGTTCTGATGCACCCTAATCAGGTCATCAGCTGTTAAACTGGAGCATTAGCTTTGTCTCAAACATAAGATTTGTTTCCAAACACTTCGCACCCCAAGCCCTTGCTGCGGGGACGAAGGCTGCTCCCACACCGGCACGTCCGCTCCGCAGCAGAGCTCACGGGAAGAGGATCCCACTGGGAGAAGCAGCGGTCTTGCACACTGACACGTGATGTGCTGCTGAACAGCCTCATGCTCTGGTGCGACTTGTCACGATGCTTGTCTCTCCCTGACCTGCGAGGCAGCCACCGGGGTGAGGGCAGGACATGCCACTGTCACAGCACATCACCTTGGCACATCCCAGCTGCAGGGGGCTGCCAGTGCCATTCCCATCCTCCGTCCTGGGCAGAGCTTCCCTGCACAGCTCTGCCATTCCCATCCCGCTCCCCTCTGCCCAAGCACCAGTGAGCTCTGCCTTGAAACACAAGCACCACAGCCATCAATGCAGCAAGGAAGCAGCTTATCTGAAAAGGGCACCCAAACCACCCCCAGCCCTTCTGATAAGCATCAGTCTAGGAATTTAGCTGAGCAGCCCTAACGCTCCACAATCTAATCCTGGATCTATCCCACATCCACAGGGCTCTCCCACCCTCTGTGAGGGCACCCCAGGCCCAGCAGCCCCAGCCACCTTCATTCCCCTCATTAAATGTATTTGCCAAGATTGACTCAGAGGGCAGATGAAGGCACGGATGGATATCATGGTATGATGGTAGCTGTCTGCTCAGGAACTCCTTTGGCAATGAAGGAAAGAAGCAAGAGCAAAGAGTGAGAAAGTGATAGACTGAAGGAAGAGCAAAAGCCAGGAGATAAAATCCCTCCTGGACACACACTGCACTGGCCACAGCCAGGCTAGGAAGCAGCCCAGAGCACCAGGTCCTGGGCTGGGTGCACGAGCATCGCAGGGAGCTCCAGCCCCTGGAGTGCCTGCACTGGGAGGAGGCTCTCAGCACCAGCTTCAGATAAGAGCAATTCAACGCTTTCCCCTCCAGCACATACTGACTTCAAAGCAAGGGTGATATCCCATCAAATGATCAGTTAGAGATGTTAGGAAACAGCAATGGCCCCAGGACTGAGCCGTAGAAAATCTTATTTGATGACTTTCAAAATCAGCGTTTAGTGTTCTGTGGCAAAGACAACTGTGTCTGCCCATGGAATTCAGCATACAGTTTTCAGTTTCGAAATATCCTTTGAGCATATCCATCCACTCACATGAAATTCAACATAAAAGTGACCAAGGGTTGAAGGCAGAAGGCTCCATCTTTTAGCTTCACAGGGCAAGAAATTAGCCAGAAGATTGAGGCAATTTAAGACTAAATATATTGCTGCACTATCAGTAACTTCTTGATTGTGCTCAAGCCATGCAGGAAGACACTGCTGTGGCAGAGGGTGTTATAGGGGGTAAGCAGGGCTGGGCTTCACCAGGTGAGCTCCAGCCAAGAGCTGGAGGGAAGGCCAAGCAGGATCCCAAGGGGCACGAGCACTCCTGCTCAAAAGATCCAAATGCCAAAGGACAAGGCACACATACATCACACAAGAGTTATACAGGAAGAACATATATCTAAAATAACACCTTATATTTCATTAGTTTGTCAATTCTGGGATTTTCAACATGGTATTAAAGAAAAATGCTACAGATATTCCCACAGAGCGAACGCTATAAATGTATATAGATTGCTAACAAGAACCAAAAATGCCAGTGTAGCCAGCCTAAAAGCTCTCCATTTCAGCTCACTTGGGATGTGCCTATTCCCTTAGTCAACAGACAAATATCAGTGTTTCCTCGTTAGAGATTCTTTCATGGAAAAACACTGAAGCAAGAGCATGCAGAAAACATTTCATGGAATAGCAAGCAGCATTAAACTATTACACCTTGATTTTGAACAGCATGAATACAGACTTCTTCTGGCACTTAGTACAATAATTGTCTTCCCACATTTCATTCCTTTAGTTGATTCAGTGCAGAACAGTTATATTCTATGAGCAACTTCCTGCATATTCTCACTCCACTTATTTCCTGCAATAACTCAATCTGCTTACCACGGGCACTTGAGAATCTTGTATCAGCTGGCATGTCACCGATTCACCTTTCTCTGAAATATTTTCATTGCACCTACCAGCACCATGGAAGCAGTGGAACAGACAAGGCACTAGTGAGGACTGGCGGACTATGGAGGTGTAACTAATTTTTTTTAAAACCAAAAATATTCTCAAAGACCTTGTGTAGCACCACCTCTCAGGCACACAAAAGCACTGAAGTTTCAGGAAACTGCACCACAATCATCATTTCTAGTGATCAGATGAGGCCCGCAAGGCAGCTGCTAGAGACATTATCTTGGTAACAATTAAGGATGCCTAGGAAGAGATCTGAAACATAAGATCTGCTTGGTCTACACAGAAATTAAGAACTGCCAAGTGCCAGCTATGTAAACGATGCGTCTCAGGGTCAGTGATAATCCCCATCAACACTGATCTTACCAAATCTTTCAATTAGTACATTTTATGCTTGAGATGACTCTAAGAAGTCTTTAAAACTTAAAATGGCTTTCAAACAATCCCATGGAACTGTCTTTTTTAGTGAAGCTGAACTTGAAAATTCAGTAAAACAATGCATGAAAATAACTTTTTTTAAAATTCTGCTATGTAAACTCATGGAATTATTTAAAAGGCCTAATTCCAAATTATTCAGGGATAACAATTCCCAAAACAACTAGTTTTTGTTCTCTTAAAAAAAGGCTGGAAATACTTCAAAATGTACAGCAGCAATTAAGGTCTGCTAGTAAATCACTCACACTGTAACATATGACCATTTGCAACAATTTAGAACAGCACTGAGGAGCCTCCAGCAAGCACAACAGGGCATTGGCCACAGAGCCACCATAAGACAAGTTACAATGAAAAAGCCAAAGAAAGGAAGGGCACCATTCATTCACCCAGGTCACTTCCCCTCCTTATTAAAGGCTACTGGAGACTTTACTTGTGGAAACGGAGATACAAGCAAGGAAGCAAAGAACTCACAGGAGTGAAGGTCAATAAGTGGGACATAACTGAGGAGGGAGAGAACAAATCCCTTCAACAGCATCAGAGAATAACAGGTAAAGACAGGACTGGAAGAGAGGAAAAAAGGTACAGGTGAATGCTGTAAAATGGTGGAGTAAAAAGAACAGCTAAATATTTCTAAATGTTATCTAAATGCTTAACCCAGCCATAGGCATCCTGGGAGACCTTATAGGGAAGATAAACATGGAAGAAAGCCACATTGTAGGCAAGGTGGGGAAAGTGCTCGAGGACACCG